ATAATAATCTGTATTTTGTATTTTTCCTATGTCTGTAATTTAAAATATATGCATTACATAATATATACATTACAGAATATATACATAAATATATAAAAAGTGAAAGGAAGAGCCTGGGATGAGGCTCAGTGGTACAGTATGTGCCTAGTGTGTACAAGATTGTTGGTTCCATCCTTAGCACTGCAAAATTCATTAAAATTTAAAAATAAAATTAATTTTAATTAATTAAAATATAGTGGCCAGTAAGATCTCTCAGTAGGTAAAGGTGCATGTCACCAGCCTAGTGATGATGACCTGAGTTCAGTCCCAGACCCTCACGTGGTAGAAGGAGAGAACTGATTGATTCTTGCAAGTTTTCCTCTGTTCACATATGGCATGTGCTCCCCTCCCCAAATGAATGAATGAATGAATAAATGTAAACATTTTTAAAAGGGCTGAGTGTGGTTACACATGCCTTTGATCTCAGCATTCTGGAGGCAAAGGCAGAAGGATGCCTGTGACTTCAAGGCCTGCCTGGTCTACATTGAGCATTCCAGAGAAGCCACTATGAGACAGTGAGACCCTGTCTAATTTGTGTTTGTCTGTGTGTATGTGTGTATGTGTGTGTGTATGTGTGTAGATCACTCATTGCTTAGGAGCACTTGCTGTTCTTCCAGAGGACCCAAGTTATGTTCCCAGTACCCATATACCCACATTTGGCAGCTCATGACTACCTGTGACTTCAGCTCTAGGCATGCTCTACTGGATTCCACAGGTCCTTGCACTCATGTGTACATGCCCCTACACAGACAAACACATATACACATGATTTAAAAATGAATCTCAAATATATATATTATTATATTTTTTAATTGTAGATTAAACTTCCAAGAGATTTCAGGTTCTGTCCTTTTTACTATATATGCACATAAATGTACCAACAGCATATTTGTATTATTTTTCATGTTAAAAAATTACAATAGGTGAGATGGTTCAGCAGGTGCTTGCCACCAGCCTGATGACCTGAGCTTACTCTCTAGAACTTGCATAACGAAGGAAGAAAACAAACTCCTACAAATTGTCTTCTGATCTCCACTTTGGTGTATCCACATTCACACTCACATACATACAAAGTAAATAAATAAAATTAACAAAAATGTTTTTAATTACTACAGGCTTTATGCCATAACTTTTATTTTGCCCAATATATTATGTTGGCACCATAGAGAAAAAGCTTTATTGTGCAGGCAATATTTAAATTGAGTTTATTTTTACATTTATTTTTACTTTAATGTTTATGAGCGTTTTGTCTACATGTATGAAAGTGTACAAAGTGCATGTAATACCCGTGGAGGCTGGAAGAGGGTGGGGGATCCCCTAGAACTGGAGTTACCAGGATTGTTAGCTGCATGTGGGTGCTTGGAACTGAACCCAGGTCCTCTGCAAGAACAACCAGGACTCTTTTTTTCACACTGACAAAATTTCCTTTTTTCCTTTTTTCACATTTTATAACAATTTTTTAAAACTCAGAAATGAATCATTGGCATCAAATGCTCACATATAAGTAAAATTTTTATCCTTTAATTTCCTTAAACAGTAGTTTCTGAAGCCAGACTTTGTAATGTTTAAATATCTTTGTATTTCTGCCTGGCATTTTAATGTAAAGCACATTTCTATGTAAATTTTTATGCAAGTAAATGTATCATTCTCTTTTTTCCTTTTCTTCTTGTTTTCTTCTATCTTATCAATCTTCCAACTTGGGGTTTACCACACTTTTGGAAAACAAGGTAGACAATTCATTTTTCTTTCCTTTGAGAACAGTTTAAATAACAAAAGATACATCTGTTCCTTAAATATAAGATAAGAGCAACCCAGGGGATCATCTATGACTGGCATCCTATGGGTAGCAGTCTTCCACATTCAAATAACCAAGGTAGTCAAGAGAAAGAAAAAAAGGAAATTATACTTTTCCAGAAATAAATACAAATTACAAAACACCATGTGATAACATAAAGGTAAAATAGTCACAATCTCTTTAATTGTATATAGTTGGCAGTTATCAAGGTTTTCTCTGCGTCATATAATATTATCAATTAGTATTTTAATATTGAATTAAAATATTTGTTTTGTACTTTTGTAATTCCATTCAACAGTTCTTGATCAAATTTAGACCCCCTCCTCCATCCATGCCTTTTTCATCGACCTCACTGAATTTCCTGTATTCCACCATACATTTAAGTCATACTCCCCCTCACCCAACAGCAGTCTCCAATAGCTCTCAGCCTAGTGCTGGCCCACCACTTATTTCTCTCCTTGGCCTTTTGGACCCTTGTGTAATTGAGTTGTCATGGGTCCTGTGCTTGATGCCACCATTGCCACAAGTTCACATGTGTAAGCTTCTGGTGGCCTGGGAGCTTTTGCTTCCTGTGTTCATGAACCAGCCCTGGCTCTGAGTCTTTGATTTTTTTTCTCCTTGGTAGTTCACATATCATCATCTAGCATTATGATAGCCAAACTTTGGTTAGAAGGCTTCCAGGTCAGTTTGTTTTGAGTCCTGTATCCTAAGTATGTCCTGTCCTGTACAGTAGGATCTTATCTAATAGTTCTGGGAGATAACCAAGATGTTTGGCAATAGCCTGTGTTAAACTGGGAATCTCCTGGACCACCTTCACCAGTCACTCAAAGGGAGGTCTCTTCTGTCTGGCACCATGCTCTTTGCCAAGCAGCTCTCAGGTATACATATGCATTAATGTTCAGATAGTGTATGTGCATTTTTCATGGAGTTTTGAGGGCATCACTTTCCCTCCTGTTTTCCTAACCACCCAAGATTCATTCATCTCTACTCTTTTCCTCCCATCTGATCTCCCTCCCCCCTTCCTAGTTACAGTGTCCCGTTATCCTCAGCCTCCCCCAATAGTACCCACCTCCCACCATCCTCACTTTCCTGACTTCCCTACCTCCCCCACACCATAGTCCTTTGCATACCCCTCCTTCCTTTCCTTCCTGCCAAATATTCCCACATTCCCCACTTCTCCCCTGGTAACATCTGTTTCCAACTATCCCCATTTCAGGATCTTTTCCTTTACCTCCATGTATCCTTACCTTTTTCCTGGGTCCTGGTGATACACCAGAATTTATACACATGTATAAGGGATTGGTGCTACAATTCACAAATAAAGAAGAACGTGTGTTGTTTGCTTTTCTGCCTTCATATACTTTGTACTTCACTTGGTATAACACTCTCTAGCTCCATCCATTTACCTGTAAATTTCATAATTCATCCTTTCTTACTGCTGAGTTGACTCCATTATGTAGACAGATATACAACATTTTCATTATCCATTTGTCAGTTGGAGGACATTTAGGTCATGTACATTTCTTAGCTATTATGAAGAAACAGCAACAAACAAGAATGTGCAGGTATCTCTACAGTATGATGAGTCATTTGGGTATATGCCAAGGAGTGGTATCACTGGATCATATGGTAGGTTCATTTTAGTTTTTTGAGAGTTCTCCACAGTGGCTGCATAGTGGTTGCACGAGTTTGCATT